TCTATTGTTTGGATTAGTTTCGGAAGGAATGACACCATCTCCTCTTTGTATGTCTGGTAGAATTTGGCTGTGAATCCATCTGGTCCTGGGCTTTTTTTTGGCAGGTAGGCTATTAATTACTGCCTGAATTTTGGAACTTTTTATTGGTCTATTCAGGGATTCAACTTCTTCCTGGTTTAGTCTTGGGAGGGTGTATGTGTCCAGGATTTTGTCAATTTCTTCTAGATTTTCTAGTTTATTTACATAGAGGTATTTATAGTATTTTCTGTTTGTTTTTCTGTGGAATCAGTGGTAATATCCCTGTTATCATTTTTTATTATGTCTATTTGATTGTTCTCTCTTTTCTTCGTTAGTCTGGCTATCGGTCTATGTATTTTGTTAATCTTCAAAAAAAAAAAAAAAACTAGCTCCTGGATTTGTTTTTGAAGGGTTTTTTGTCTCTATCTTTTTCAGTTCTGCTCTGATCTTAGTTCTTGTCTTCTGCTAGCCTTTGAATTTATTTGCTCTTGCTTCTCTAGTGCTTTTAATTGTGATGTTAGGGTATTCATATTAGATCTTTGGGCAGTTAGTGCTATAAATTTCCCTCTAAACACTGCTTTAACTGTGTCCCAGAGATTCTGGTACATTGTGTCCTTGTTCTCACTGGCTCAAAAAACTAATTTATTTCTGCCATAATTTTCCTATTTACCCAGGTGCCAGTCAAGACCAGAAAGCAAAAGAAACCTTCAACAGGCTGGGCATGGTGGTTCAGACCTGTAATCCTAGCACTTTGAGAAGTTGAGCCAAGATGATCACTTGAGCTCAGGAGTTTAAGACCAGCCTATGTCACACGGTAAGACCCCCCCATCTCTACAAAAAAATAAAAAATTAGCTGGACATGGTGGTACACTCCTGTGGTCTCAGCTATTTGGGAGGCTGAGGTGAGAGGATCCCTTGAACCTGGGAGGCTAAGGCTGCAGTGAGCCATGATCATGCTATTGCACACCAGCCAAGATGACAGTGAGACCCTGTCTCAAAAAGAAATCTTTGAAACTGCCTTTGCGAAATTATGCCTGAGACAGCAAAAGAGATCTAATTTAAGTGACTCCATCTTGCTTCTAACATCCAAGTTGTTCTTGTTCATTCTTGGGTGGAGGCTGAACTAACTTTTGGAGAAATTTAGTTTATAGTTTATAGTTTAAATCAGAGATGATAATAGTCCTTTTCCAAAGCAGATCTCCTTCTTGCCTAGGGAGTAGATTGCCTTTGTAGGACTAACGTTAGCCACAAGATTAGAAATTATGGTTTAGGCGTCATGCAGCTGGAGGCTAGAAGATTCTGATCCTCTCTAAATTGCTCCTTGAGATATTTTGCAGACCCTGCAAATAAATGATAGGTCAGCTGGCACTACCTAGATCAGTAAACTGGCTCATCTGATCTTGTGGCCCCCCCCACCTAGGAACTGATTTTGTGCAGGAGGACAGCTTTGACTCCCTATGATTTCATCTTTGACCAATCAGCACTCTCAACTCACTGGCTTCCCCCAACCCACCTGCTATCCTTTCTGCTCCCTGAATGCTCTGGGAAACTGATTTGAGTAATAATAAAACTCTGGGAGTAGGATCCAAGATGGCTGATCGCTAACATCTCGGGATTGCAGCTCCCAGTGAAACCTCAGAGAATGAGAGGACGCCACACTTTCAGACAAATTTTGGTCGCTCACGGAGCAGAAGATTCCCAGTGGAGGAGCTCCACGGGTCGCCAGCGTGACTCTTGTGGCCGGCGCAGCAGTTGTGCCTGCACTTCAGCGTGGCAGCTCTTGGTGCAGAGTAAATGGGACTGGTTTCCCCTTCTGACTGAGGTTTGGAGCTCCGGGAAGGCAGAGACGCCTATTATGGACTCAAGAAGGAAGCCAGACTGGAGATTCCCAGGCAGAAAAGCACCATCAGTCTTAACACCGCTGTTTTGGCCGGCACAGTGGGTTGCTCATATTTTGGCCCTGGGAATTAACAACTTGGATGTTCACTCAGAGACCTAATTTGAAAGTTGGTAATTACAAAGACAACAGGTGGATAAATTTACAATGATGGGAAGAAACCAGCGCAAAAAGGCTGAGAATATTCAAAATCAGAACGCCTTTCCCTCTAAAGAGGATCACAGTTCCTCATCAACAAGGGAACAAGACTTGATGGAGAATGAGCACATCCCATTAACAGAATCAGGCTTCAGAAGATGGATAATAAGAAACTTCTGTGAGTTAAAAGAACATGTTGTAGCCCAATGTAAAGAAACTAAGAACTTTGAAAAAAGGTTTGACGAAATTCTAATGAGAATAGACAACTTAGAGAGGAATATAAGTGAATTAATGGAACTGAAGAATACAATGCAGGAACTCCGAGAAGTATGCACAGGTTTAAACACTCGAATTGTTCAAGCAGAAGAAAGGATATCAGAGGTCGAAGTCTAACTTAATAAAATAAAATGAGAAGACAAGATTCGAGAAATAATCTTGGATAAAAAGGAATAAGCAAAGTCTCCAAGAAATGTGGGACTATGTGAAAAGACCAAATTTACGTTTGATAGGTGTACCTGAATGCAACAGAGAAAATGAATCCAAGCTGGAAAATATTCTTCAGGATATTATTCAGGAAAATTTTCCTAAACTAGCAAAGCAAGAGAACATTCAACTCCAGGTAATACAGAGAACACCACAAAGATATTCCTCAAGAAGAGCAACCCCAATGCACATAATCGTTAGATTCACCAGGGTTGAAATGAAGGAGAAAATACTAAGGGCAGCCAGAGAGAAAGGTCAGGTTAATTACAAAGGGAAGTCTATCAGACTTACAGCAGATCTCTCAGCAGAAACTCTACAAGCCAGAGAGAGTAGGGGCCAATATTCAACATCCTTAAAGAACAGAACCTTCAGCCCAGAATTTCATATCCAGCCAAACTAAGCTTCACAACTGAAGGAAAAATAAAATCTTTTATGAACAAGCAAGTACTCAGAGATTTTATTACCACCAGGCCTGCTTTACAAGAGCTTCTGAAAGAAGCATTACACATAGAAAGAAACAACCAGTATTAGCCTTTCTAAAAATATACTAAAAAGTAAAGAGCACCAACATAAAGAAGAATTTACATCAATGAATGGATAAAACAGCCAGTTAACATCAAATGGCAGTAATCCTAAATTTAAATCGACTAAATCCCCCAATCAAAAGACACAGCCAAAACCCAACTGGCATGTTACATCCAGATCCATTTCACATGCAAGGATACACAAAGACTCAAACAAAGGGATGGAGAAAGATTTACCAACCAAATGGAGAGCAAAAATAAATAAATAAATAAAAAGCAGGAGTTGCAATTCTCATATCTGATAAAATAGATTTTAAAGCAACAAAGATATAGTAGTAAAAGGATCAATGCAACAACAAGAGCTAACGATCCTAACACCCAGATACATAGAGACTTAGACTCAATGAGAGAGAAAATTAATAAGGATATCAAGGACTCGAACTCAGATCCCAAACAAGTAAACTTAATAAATATTTATAGAGCTCTCCATTTTAAATACACAAAATATACATTCTTATCAATACCACATCACACCTACTCATAGGTTTAAATGAAACATTGATTGGCCATTATTAATACCCAATTTTTTTTAGAATAAAGCAACATTTCCATTCTCGCTCCCTCTTTTTCTTCCTCTTTCTTCCTCTCCTTCACTCCTTTTTTTTTTCCTTTCCTTCTCTCAAAAAAATAAAAATAAATAATAATAAAACTCTGGTCTTACGCACTGCCAGCTCTGCCTGAATTACTCTTTCTCTGTTGCAATTTCCCTGTCTTGATGAATCAGCTCTGTCTAGGCAGTAGGCAAGGTGTACCCCTTGGGTGTTTACACCTTCAACAATGGCATTTGTCTTATTGTTTTTTTAGATGTTATGGGAGAGAACGGGAAGGGTCCAGGGAAGCACTAAACACAATGGAGATTAAAGTACAGGAGAGGCTGGGTGGTGGCTCATGCCTGTAATCTCAGCACTTTGGGAGGCTGAGGCTTTGTGGTACAGACCTGTAGTCCCAGCTACTTGGGAAGTTGAGGCAGGAGGATTCCTTGAGCCCAGGAGTTTCAGGATGTTGTGAGCTATGATAGTGCCACTGCATGCCAGTCTGGGTGACAGCGTTCTTGGCTCCAAAAATAATAAATAAAGTACAGGAGAAACTCAAAGATGTTCACTTGGTGATGGTACTATCACGTAAGGAGTATTGGGAAACATGACCGGTGTTTTTGACTTCTGCAATGAGAAGTGTTGAGGTAGCAGCATTTGGGATTGAGGGAGCAGCAGTGCTAATATTCTGTGGGCTCAAGACAGTGCTGCACAATTGTCCTTCCTTTAAATGCCAGTAACACCCCCCATTGATGATTAGTTAATCCTTATATCACTAAAGATTACAGAAATATGACACATGGTAGTATTATCTGGTCTCAAGGATCCAAATGGAATGCTGATGTCACATCCAGATAGTCACAGTGTCCTTGGCTTGTGGTAGCCATGAGAGAAGTGGTATTTTCTTGGAATAGGAACATGGTAGTTTAGATATACCTGGAGGGAGGGAGTGCTCCCTCTCAGTGGACTATTTTTATACAACTAATTAACACTTTCAAGTATATTTGTTCCCAACATTTTTTATATTCATTATAAACAGGGTGATATGGTCTGGCTGTGTCCCTGCCCAAATCTCATCTTGAATTATAGTTCCCATTATTCCCATATGTCATAGGAGGGACATGGTGGGATGTAATTGAATTATGGGGGCAAGTTTTTCCCATACTATTCTTGAGGTGGTGAATAAGTCTCACAAGATCTGATGGTTTTACAAATGGGAGTTCCCCTACATAAGCTCTCTTTTGCCTGCCACCATGTACGATGTGACTTTGCTCCTCATTTGTCTTCTGCCATGATTGTGAGGCCTCCCTAGTCAGGTAGAACTGTAAATTAATTAAACCTCTTTCCTTTATAAATTACCCAGTCTTGAGTATGTCTTTATTAGCAGCATGAGAACAGACTAATACACATGGTTAAACTAAGAAGAATTGGCTTGAATGGTGTCCATTACATTGAGCATCCTCAGAGGGAAAGATATATAGACAATGCTATGCAAACCTCTAAGTTTTTCTTAGAAACATTTCTAATGGAAGTATTTCATATTGGAATCACAGGTTAATCAGTGGCTTTGTGTATGTGTGTGTATGTGTGTGTGTGAAAAGGAATGTCAGAGACCACCTTAAACCCACTGTCATACTTCTGAATTCTTCAATGTAGAAATACAAAGTGTGCTTCCATTGTGGTTACTCATACCATGCAAGTAAATGAATAGCTGAATACCTGGAACTTTGATTTTAAATGTAATTATGACCTTTAACAATAACGGCTGGTTTAAAAATGAGGCAAAGTGTAAGTAAAATGGGCAACAGATAATATACTTCAGTTCCCAAAGAATATTTATAAGGAAAAGTTGTGTTTCCTTCGCAGATTTCAGCCTTAGAGAAAAGACTTCATCATCTTATACGTGATGTGGCTTTCTGGGCTCCTGATACCTTCATAGAGTTTGACTGGAATTTCTTTCTCTTGAAAATGAATGGGCATTTTCTTGCTCTCCACACTCATAAGCTTCACTCCCAGGGGGCCCAAGTTTACATAATCCTATGGTGAACAGACACGAAAAAGAATAGGAGAGGTGATTCAGCAAATTATCGCCTTTGATAGATTAGGCTTTCTTTATTACATTTGGCCTTTATCTGACAGACTTCATGCCCCCTAATTGCTTGATGCTGTATAACACAGGAAATATGAGAACCACTATAAATGGGAAAATAAACCCAAAACACTCGGTAAACTTATACACCCTGTGGGGCATACATAGTAGATCTCCCAAAAAGCAGGCAGCAAGGCTGGCAAGCTTGTCTCATAGTGAGTTAATGGGGGAGAGATGCTGTCTATAGTTAGTGCCAAACTAACTATAGTCTGTGAAAGGAAAATAAAAACATGGGACCCCAATTCACTTTGCCAAAAGGAAAAAATTAAGCTGCAAGCTGAGTCATGTAAGCGACTGCCCTTCCTTTTGTTCTAAGCAGATAGCTACAGATAAAAGGTTAATTATCTCCACAGGTAGCTACTCTGTGTGCACCTGATCTTTTGTAAAGTGTGAGGTGAATACATAATTGACTGTTCTCTAACTGCTCCTTTTCTCTTGCCACATGTGGATGACCATACCCTCCTGCTTTCCCCTCCAGCCCACTTTTCTCCTTTAAATACTGAAGGCCTCCAAGTCATCTTTGGAGAAAGGCACACACCACACACTGTTTCTGTGATTTCATGTTTTTTCTCCCAGGTATTGTCCTTAACATTGGCAAAATCAACTTCTAAATTGATTGAGACCTGTCTCAGATACCTTTTGGTTTACAAGTCTAAGCTATCAAAAAACAGAATTAGAAGTCTAACTGATAAGAAATTCCATAGCCAACCCAAAACTGGGTGGACAGAGCTCACACCCTACCCAATGTCCCTTCCTCTGGGAAGTCTCCCCTGCCATAACTCTTGCTTTTTAATTTGTTCAACATCACTCTTCGGCAAATCTTTTCCAAGTGTTCACTGTATGCCAGCCCCGTGTCAAGTACTAGGGTGCAATGATAAGCTCACAGACTGATTGGGGACATAGGTACATGTGGTCTGTTTACTCTTAAATGGTAGTTGTTGATTTTCTTACCTGTCTTTTACAAGTCTGTAAGTGATTTGGGGGTAAGGGCTGCTGTATAGGCATGTTGGAGATTTCTTGCTATTCTCTCCCTTAAAGGCGCAAGCATTTAACAAGGACCTGGCATGTTGTGGGACTCTCAATAAATATTTATTTGAATTTAGAAGAATCAAAGAATGAAAAAGGAAGGTGATGTCTTATTTCTCAAAATGTATATAATTCTATTTAGCTTTCAAAATATGTAGCTGTGATAAATGCAAGACAGGAGAAAAGTAAGTTGATAGAGATCTATCACATATTTCAGAATCACTGGGAGGAGGATTCTCAAGTAATAAACCATGGCCATGGCAATTTGACTACATTGAAAACTTGCATGGAAAGTAAGAAGGTCTTTCATTCAACCAAATGGTATGCAATTTGGGGATTTTGTAGACAACTGTCCACTAGCCTCAGATTATCATGACATCCAGGAGTCATGATTCTAAGATACTCATGGAGGTGTTTCAGTGTTAGAGGAACTAGAACTTTAGTCTTTAAATCATCACTTGTTGGCAGAAGTATTGAATTGTAGTTAGTTAAAATGGTTTGTGTTGGTCTATTCAGTTTCTTCTGCTTTCTTACATCATTTTTTTCACTACCAGACTTTACATTCTAGGGGAACTTTTAAAGTACCAAGAAGGAAAATAACAAGGGATGGCTGTGGGACTAACTGGAATGGACTAGAAAGAAGTTTTAAAATTAAAAGGCTTAAAACTCCAGGTTTTAATGAATGGTATGTGTGGCAATTTGTACTTTCCAAAGATAGCCTAATTCCTATCATATTCCAAGTGCTTCTCTTACAATGTGATGCTGAACTTCCTCCATCAAGATGTAGGAGCTATGTTCCTTCCCCTTGGATGGAACTTTGTAACTGGATCAACCAGTAGAATATGATGGAAGTGACAGTGTATGATTTCCAAGGCTAAGACATACAAACTGCTGCTTTCTTTCCTTTTTTTTTTTTTTTTTTTTTTTTGAGATGGAGTCTTATTCTGTCCCCCAGGCTGGAATGCAGTGGTGCAGTCTCTGCTCACTGCAACCTCTGCCTTCTGGGTCCAAGCAATTCTCCTGCCTCAGCCTGCCAACTATCTGGGATTACAGGCATGCACCACCATGCCCAGCTAATTTTTGTGTTTTTAGTAGAGATGAGGTTTCACCATGTTGGCCAGGCTGGTCTTGAACTCCCAACCTCAGGTGACTCACCCACCTCACCCTCCCAAAATGCTGGGATTACAGATATAAGCCACCACGGCCACATTGCTGCTTTCATCTTGGTCTCTAGAATTGCTTGATCGGGGAAAAGACACACTATAACAAAGGAAATTCAAAACACCCTGTGGGGAGGCACATGTAAAGAAGAAGTGAGGCACTCAGTTTAGCCAGCATCAACATGCCATGAATAAACCACCTTGGAAGTGAAGACTCCTGCCCCAATCAAGCCTTCTGTTGAGTGCAGACCTAGCCAACATATGGTTGCAACTGAGAGTCCACCAAGTGAGAACTGTCGAGTGGAGCCCTTCCTGAATTTCTAATCAACAGAGCCCCAAGAGAGAATATGTAATTGTTATAAGCCACTAGGTTTTAGGGATTGTTATGTAGCATTAGATAACTTACTCTGTATACTAGTAATGGAGGCCTATAGATAGCAAATTAGGCAAGTGTAGGAGTGAAAATAGTATCCAAATGAGAGTGAAAATAGTATCCAAATGAATGGTGGGCCAATTTTACTAATAACTGCAAATGGAATTAATTTACACTATGCATACGTTAGGTGAATTTTATCAATTAATAAAACAGCATTTTCTTGGTAGTCAAAGTTAAGTTCTTATGAATCTTACCTTGAAATCCTTCTCATCCTCATATAGTAAGTACTTCACATCAGTGTCCCCAGACTCTGTGCATGAGCTTTCCTCTTCAACTGTCTTCACATACTGGAGATCTGTGATGCTCTTTTCATGACTAAGATGTAAGGTCCTGATCTCATCTGATGAGTGCATCGTGTTTCCACTTTCTGCTTTGATGGGTTGCAGTTCTGACTTCTCTTCTTGGATGAATACAAAGGAATTAATTATGTATACATTTTGAAAATATAAATATAAAAATTCAATACATACTTTGTCACATTTTTAATTGGATGGAACTTGGAGAACTGCAAATGTAGAATTTATGCATTAAAGTAAGAGAGAGTCCCATTTGTAGAAATTTTAAGTTGTATTACATTTTGTTAGCTATTAAGTTACAGTAATTATATGGGTGTCTATGTATATGTTGTCATTTTGGTTAGCTAAATAGGGCCCTAAACCTTGCCAGTGTAGACAACAGACCATCCCTCATCCCTTTTCGCCAGTATTTATTTAATTTACTGTGGAACATGGTGACCTTCATTTGAAAGTGGGATTACAGAGAGGAGATAGACTAGGACAAGCCCTGCAAGAGGATAAATTTAGAGGAGCTGGCAGGTATCTACTCCCTGAATAGCTTTTGTATGTGGGGCACCTGCTCACAATAGATAAGTGTTTTCTTAATTGAAAACAAGAGTTTGAAAAAGTATCATCACTAGTGCAATAAAATAATACCTGTATGTGTTTCTGGCAATTCCAAAGACATTTCTTCAGGTGGCACTTCTAGTCCAGCAGCTTGGGTAAGATATAGTCGCCTAAAAGAACAAGTAAGAAAACCGGTCTGTCAGTCAATAAATATTGCATTGCATGCTTACTAGGGTGTATCTCTCTACTAGGTGCTAGAGAAATGAGACATATTTCTACCCTGAGGAGCATAAAGCCCATTGGGGTGGCAGACAGCCTAACAGTATTTTAAAGTCACTGTATGCTAATTACCATGATGGGTAATTAGCATAGTGTGATAATGCTGGGATGCAGAAAGCAGCAGCACCTGAGTCAGCCTTAGGATGAAGGAAAGTTTTCCTGGATGAAACCTGAGCCTAGTCTTTGATATGGTTTAGCTGGGCCCCACCCAAATCCCATCTTAAACTCTAGTTCCCATAATCCCCACATGTTGTGGGAGGGACCAGCTGGGAGGTAATTGAATCATGGGGGTGTTTACCTCCAGGCTGTTCTCATGTTAGTGCGTGAGTTCTCATGAGATCTGATGGTTTTATAAGGGACTTTTCCCCAACCTTCGCTCTGCACTTCTTCCTGCTGCCAAATGAAGAAGGTTGTGTTTGCTTCCCCTTCTGCCATGATTCTAAGTTTCCTGAGGCCTCCGAGGCCTAGTGGAACTGTGAGTCAAACTTCTTTCCTTTCTAAATTATCCAGTCTCAGGCTGTTCTTTATAGCAGCGTGAGAATGGACTATACAGTCTGGAACCTGAAGATGCTTGCAGGGAAGAGCAAGGGGTGAGAGAAGGATATTCCAAATAAGGGAATAACACAAAATTCAAAAGATGAGCGTGAGCATGGTGCCAGTCAGGTCATTGTATTATTTCAGGTGCGGAATGATAGTGGCCTGAAAGACCTGGTTTTGAGAAGAGAGAAGGAGAAATCGAGCAGTAGGAATCCAAGATGCCATCTAGGTCCTGGCTTTTACTTAGTGGTATGCTTCAGCTGCAAGCCCAGTGAATTGATATCTACATGCTGTTGTAGCTCTCTCTACATGGTTTAATTCTGTGCTTTCATTTTTAGAATGGCCACTGAATTTTCAATCAGAAAATATAATGCCTTGAAAACTGTGTATGGCATTTCCATGAGGTTTACCTGAAGACAGCATGAAGTAATTGAACTCTTGCAAATGTGCAAACAAACTTCATGCTTGGAAGCTCTAAGCAACCAAAGTGAATCCCCTAAATTAGGGGCTGTCAGTTATTTAAAGAACGTGAATAAAGTGTTATCCAGATGGTAATGGCTCCAGCAAATACTGTAACTACATACAATATTTACATCTATGAAACCTACAAACTTTAGTTACAGTAAGTTTAGTAAAGGTATCTTAGTAAAGGTAAGTTTGGCATGTAGCTGTGTTCTGCAGGGAGACATGTCTGAGGCTATAGAATTCTTTTCTTTCCTAGTTTTACCATTGTGAACAATTAAGATCTTTCTAAAGGCCATAACCTTCAGGAATCTAGCTTTTTCTATTAATCGCTAGTTTGCTGTCATTTCTGTACTGCTACAGGGTAGCAACACTTGATACTTAATGATATGAAAAATAATTTAAAAGATGTTATTGTGGTAAGCTAGTGTTATATTTGTAGGTTTTGACCCACTTAGCCTCAGCCATGTGGCGCTGGAGTCCCAGGCAGTCACCTCTGGCTGACAGTTGCCTCATCTGTTTGCCCCAGTGTGTCAAACAAATCCTATGACATTCTATGTGAGTTGCGATGGAAAAAAGTTTGAGTAGCTTTGCATAGGAAATGTGATAACTCCATTAACCACAATATCCCATTCCTCATCCAAATTGGAAATAGAACTTCTTCTATGTCCATTGGGGACTGTTCATGTCTATTTATTTTCAACCTACTAGTATTATACAAAACTTAATTCTCAACAAAGAGATGGAGGGGCAGTTACCATAAAAATATAATGTGTATAGGGCTGGGCGCGGTGGCTCACGCCTGTAATCCCAGCACTTTGGGAGGCCGAGGCGGGTGGATCACAAGGTCAAGAGATAGAGACCATCCTGGTCAACATGGTGAAACCCCGTCTCTACTAAAAATACAAAAAATTAGCTGGGCACGGTGGTGCGTGCCTGTAATCCCAGCTACTCAGGAGGCTGAGGCAGGAGAATTGCCTGAACCCAGGAGGCGGAGGTTGCAGTGAGCCGAGATCGCGCCATTGCACTCCAGCCTGGGTAACAACAGCGAAACTCCATCTCCAAAAAAAAAAAAAATATATATATATATAATGTGTATAATATTTCTTTGGCTTGGAAATGGGTACAGTAAAAGCTCCTGAGTACTCTCAGGTTATCTTTCTGCATAAGAAGTCTAGTAGATAATTGAGGGGTTTCAGATTTTCTTGTTTCTTTATGCAGTTATTTCAAAAATGTCCAAAACAGTTGCCGCAAGGAGTTTACAATCTAGTAAAGAAGCAGACATTAAATAAGTAATCAAAAGTGTCATAAAGGTTGGTTACATAGGAAAAGTTCAGGGTACTGTGGAGGCATATAGCAAGAACACATTTATCAATTCCTATAAATGTCACCCATTGCTGTTTCTTTTCCCTTGGAAAGATTTTGATTTCATTTCTTCCAACTCTGAAGCTAGACTAAGCACTCCATTCCTCTCAGTAAGGAAAACCAACCCCTAAAGCACTGATGAACAATGTGAATTTTACTGAAGAGTTTTGAGGGGAAGTGTGAGGATGAGGTTAAATTACATACTGCATAGTAAACAACTAAATGAAAATCCCCATTAAAAGTTTCTTAATCTCCCATTCTGTTCTTGCCAACTCCCCTCTGGCCAGTGAAATAATTCCCTTTTTTAGAATTATTAGCACTTTACAACCATGTCAGAACAAATATACCAGACTGAGCTGATCCATGTAGAGACACGGGGCTGACTGTTTAGAGGGTAGCTCTTTCCTAAAGTTTAGCCAGTTCAGAAAAGAGGGCAGTGGACAGCAGGTATTGCAGTAGTTAGAAGCCACACACCAGCAATGCCTGGCAGAGATTAGAAATGATCCCAAAGGCAGTAGCAGCAGCAGATAATGAGGATTAGAGGTGGGATAGGAATGTAACACTGGAGACTTGATAACAGAGAGGAGGACTGGCAAAAGCAAGCATTGCCGACTGGGCAACAGTGAGCACTACAGGCCCTCTAGGGCATCGGCTCAAAAGACTGGAAGTACAGGAGTTCAGTAATCAATCCTCATTCAGCCTTACCTCATCTATATTTGTATCGACTCTATCTGAAGCACACAAATAATTATGCAAAGGGGGCAGATGACTTCTTTCTCTATCCTGCCCCACCCAGCGTATCTTTTAATTTCTCTAATCTTGTATCTGACACGTATCATTTAGCCTGGCAAACAAAGAACCCATAACTTTTCTGTATCCACCTTTCTTGGAAAACAATAGAAAGTTTATAAATAACAAATACATGATCATGTCTCAAATAGTATTTTTCCATGTCTCACAAACAATAGGATCTACTTGTGTGGAAAATTGCTCCTGGCTCTTCCACCGGGTTCAACTTAACATCTGCTTTAATGCCTAGACTAGACATTTCTCTCCTTTACTTGCACACATGCACCCTACATTTATGTGACTTCCTCTCTCTTCCTAAACATACTACTATTTAGATTATTTTTTTGTATTGACTACTTGTCTAAATTATGAGTGCCATTTTGAATTTTAATTTTATATTCAAGGGCCCTAGGTTTCTGTCAAGATTAATAGAATTAAGACTATTTTTGTCAAATAAGGAAAACTAACTGAAAATATAAAACCATAAACACCACTTGGTTTCTTGTGTGCAAGAACAAATGTGACTTGGAATGCCAAGCTCTTTTCTTGGCCTACGGAGTAGTTCTGACTCTTTCAACCAAAAGAAGTAATTCTAGAATCCACAGGAGCCCAGATAACCTCTATGAAACTTCCAGAAAGTGGATCAGCTCCTCCTCTGTGCTAAGGCTTTACCTCCTCCATATTCTGCTGTACTGTTATGTATTTATTTTCATGACCATTCCCCACGCTGGCCTGGAGGTTCCTGAAGGTTGGCAGTTATGATGTTCACATTATGTGCTGGCTATTGTGACTACAGTGCATTGCAAAAAAAGAAAACAAGCAAAGTTTACACTGTACCAGTGATCAATAGTAATAATCCTATACCTTCATCATGACCATTTTGTGTGTCCCTTTCTTTTTGGACTACTGCAATCTGGCTGGAGCATTGAAGAATTAAATCATCTTTTTTAAAAAAAAAATTTTAAATTACTTTTTACAGATACAAACATTTACAAAATACTTTATATATATTACATATATATATATATATATATATATATATATATATATATAAATAATTTTCACCTGGGTATTTTGAGATCCACAAGTCTACAGTTGAATAATTGATCAATAAGCACCAAATTTTCTTCTTCCAGTTTATGAATAGCATTTTGTAATTCTTCAACTTCTTTTCTGTGAATTGCAACCTGTTCTCAGAGGAAAGAATGAGTGTTGGTACTTACTGATTTAGTTCTATTAAGTTTTCTTTTCTTTTCTTTTTCGAGACATAGTTTCACTTTTGTTACCCAGGCTGGAGTGCCGTGGTGCAATATCAGCTCACTGCAACCTCTACTTCCCAGGTTCAAGCGATTCTCCTGCTTCAGCCTTCTGAGTAGCTGGGATTACAGGCATGTGCCACCACGTCTAGCTAATTTAGTATTTTTAGTAGAGACAGGGTTTCTCCATGTCGGCCATGGTTGGTCTAGAACTTCTGACCTCAGGTGATCTGCCCACCTCAGCCTCCCAAAGTACTAGGATTACAGGTGTCAGCCACCATGTCCAGCCAAGTTCTATTAAGTTTACTATAATAAACTCAACTTCTAAAAGTGCATTTGCCTGAAGGGAAGACCTATTATGCATCATTTATTACTGGACTTGCTTTGTCCTTCCTCTCTAAAAAGGAATAGGTGGAAATCTTTTTTAGATCATCAGCAGAACTTGTCTGAATAGTTAGGTAGTTATTACAGAATAGCAGGAATTGTCCTTTTCTACCCTTCGAAAACACTGCTGAACTTATATATGAGCCAGAGGCAGAGATAACTGAGAAAACATGGGTGATGAATTTAGCAATAGGGCATATTAGTAGCTAAGTTAGGACATATCTAAGGTAATTATAAACAATACAATGAAAACCAATAACACTGGGAAAATGCTATTTATTGATACTTTTTAAAAGAGAAGCACAGGCCTAGTAGTCCTTCTATCAGCCTCTAGAATACAATGATGTTCTCTCCGAGTGCTAGGAAGTTCTGAGAACTGTTAGGTAGATGAAATATTGTTGTCCATTCGTTCATTCATTCAGTTGTATTGTATGCCTATCATGGCAGAAATGATATTACACTTTGGGAACAAAGGATCAACAATAAGTGGTAAGCTTCAAGGATCTTGTAGCCTAGTGGGAAAAATGGTGATGAAAACAGAAAATAGCACAATAAAAATCAAAATGGAAGCCATCCAGGTGCTATGGGAGGAGAGAGAGGTTCATCCTACTTCTGTCAGTTGTCGGGGATAAGGGAGCATTAATAGAAGAGATGACACCTAATCTGGATCCTGAAAGCTAAGCAGGGACTCCCTAGGCAGACATAGGAGGCTGTGCCCCAGGCAGAAGAAAGCACATGTGCAAAGGCATGATCATTTTGATGTGGACAGATACAAAATAAGAATAGGGAGAAGCAAGAGAGGAACTGGATAATTAAAAAAGAGCTAAATAATGCTAAAGAGTTTGGTTTTTATCCTGTAGATGATGGAAAGTCATTGATAAACATAGCAAGTTTAGTTAATGTTTACTGAAAAAACTGACTAACTTTGGTACATCAATTGGTCTTGTAAAAAAGAAGAAGAAAAATAATGTGGTTGATTCAAAGAGGAACAAGTATCCTGGTTCTGTTGATAGAGCTCGCATCTGTGGTGTGTTTTGTTGGGAGGTTGAGACAGGACAATCACTTGAGATTGTGGAGATCACAGTGAGCTGACATCATGCCACTGCACTGCAGCCTGGGCAACAGAGTGAGACTCTGTGTCAGAAAAGAAAGCGTATTTTGATAACTTTTGTACAAAAAGGGCTTGATAGTGGGAAGAGTATATAGAAGAACGTTACTAGATAAAACCTCCAAACCCACCTCTCCACCACCCAAAGCAGCATGAACTACACAGGTGCTGGATCAGGAGGCGCTAATGGAGAGAGATCAGAACAATAGGAGAATTAGAAGCTAGAGCGTAAAATAGGAAGAGGTAGACTGGCAAGAATAATGGTAATATAAACTGGAGGAAGTAATAAAAGTCTTGAGGGAATACGATGAAACAAAAAAGGCACAGGAGTTTAGATTCAGTATCTGTTGTCAGGAGCTACCAAGAGTGTAACTGAGATGGGTACTCAGAAGGAGATGACTAACATTTTCTGCTTTGTTACTGAGATTTAATTGTATTTTGGAATCTTAAAGCATTCAGTATGTTACCATATGCATATCTCTGTAACATCACCATTTATTAAATGCGTGAATTCTGAGCAAATAACAGAAAAAACAAAAATTAGAAAAAATGAGCTTGGTGTGGTAGTATGCACCTGTAGTATCCACTACTTGGAAGACTGAGGCAGGAGGATCACTTGAGTCCCGAAGTTCAGTGTTACAGTGAGCTATGATTGCACCACTATACTTCAGCCTGGGTGACAGAGTGTGACCCTTTATCAAAAGCAAAAACAAAAACAAAAAAAACCCAAAACATGAGACAGGGCTTGCTCTGTCACCCAGGCTGGAGCGCAGTGGTACCTTCCCGGCTTACTTCAACTTCAACCTCCTAGGGCTTGGGTGATCCTCCCACTTCAGTAGTGGGAGTAGTGAGAACTACAGGTGTGCCAACACACCTGGATAAATTTTTTTTTTTTTTTGGTATTTTTTGTCGAGATGGGATTTCGTCATGTTGCCCAGGTTGCTCTTAAACTCCTGGGCTTCAAGCAAGCTGCTTGCCTTGGCCTCCCAAAGTGCTGGGATTATAGGCATGAGCCACCCAGCCATGAATTCTTATTTATTTATTTATTTATTTATTTATGCTCTGTCACCCAGGCTGGAATGCAGTGGCATGATCTCAGCTCACCACAGCCTCTGCCTCCTGGGTTCAATCAATTCTCTTGCCTTAGCCCGACGGCACCTTCCATGGGCACCTGCCATGACACCCAGCTAATTTTTAAAAAAAATTTTTAGTAGAGATGGGGTTTTATCATGTTGGCCAGGCTGGTCTTGAGCTCCTGAACTCAAGTGATCCGCCCAACTTGGCCTACCAAAGTGCTAGGATTATAGGCGTGAGCCACCGTGTCCAGTCATAAATTCTTTTTGTTGTTGTTGTTTTTGTTGACATGGATAAAGCTGAACATAAATTCTTATTATGGGCAAGGTTCAGAGCTAGATGTAGAAAGATGCAAGGGTGAATAAGGCATGGCTCCTTCCCTCAAGAGAGCTTATAATCTAGCAATTAAAACCACAGATAATTATAATATAAAGCAATACCATTGCCATGGAAAAGGCTCAAATATTGCTAGTGGCTTGAAGTTAGAAACAAAGGCTATATTTAACTCATTAATAAGAAGTGCATGTAGCTGAAGTACATTCTCTCAAAAGGCAGTGAGCTTTGTTTCATAGATGGCATTTAAGCACAGGTTAGGTGGCTACTTTGTATGTACAGGGTTCAAGTAGAAGGGTAGATTGGGCTAGATAAGCTTAAGGTACTCTGTCCTCATAAACCAGAAACAGGCTACTAAGAAATAGAGTTTAATGACTCTCTGTTACTTGCTAGAGAGAGCTCAAACTTTTCTGCATGGCGCACAATGTGGGCCAGACCTCCTTCTCCATTAATTATGATAGATGTACCATACAATGTAAGATGTCAGTAATAGAGGAAACTGGGTGTGGTGTATAGGAGAACTCTCTTTGTATCCTTGCAATAATTCTGTAAATTTAAAACTTATTTTAAAGAAGTAGTCAAGGGCAAAACCCCTTTCATGCTCCCTGACATCTCTGAAATGACCGGCAAGTCAGTCATTGAGTGATTTTATGCAGAAGATTGACACGACCATGCTTTATTTATTTATTTTTGATTTTGATTTATTTTTTTGAGACAGAGTCTCACTGTGTTACCCAAGCTGGAGAGCAATGGCACAATCTTGGCTCACTACAACCTCTGCCTCCTAGGCTCAAGCGATCCTCTTGCCTCAGCCTCCCAAGTAGCTGGGACTACAGATAGCTTTATGTTTTAGAAAGATGACTTTGAGGCAGTGTGAAAGAGAAAGGGGAAGGTTCCATTCTAGGCAGGGAGGAAAACCAGGTAAGACCTAAGTAAAAGATCTGGGTGAGAGATAATGAGGCCTGAACTAGGATAATGGCAGAGAAGGAGAGGTGGTCAAAGTAGAAGTGATGGGACTTGGAGGCCTTCTGAATGTGAGAAGTGAAAAGAACATTTTTAAAATAGTTGGCACTTCAGCCAGGGGTGGTAGCTCACCACCTGTAATCCTAGCACTTTGGAGGCTGAGGCTGGTGGATCACCTGAAGTTAGGAGTTCGAGACCTGCCTGGCCGACATGGTGAAAACCCGTCTGTACTAAAAATACCAAAAAAAAAAAAAAATTAGACGTGGCATGGTGGCACGTGCCTGTAATCCCTGGAACTACATTTTTATTTCCTTGCCAAATGTTTTCACAAGAAGCGCCTGAACTTGGGAGATGGAGGTTGCAGTGGGCCGAGATCGTGTCACTGCATTCCAGCCTGGGTGACAGAGCGAGACTCTGTCTCAAAAGTAAATAAATAAATTTTAAAAATAAAAATAAAATAGTTGGCACTTGAACAACACATGCAGGTTTCTTTTCTTTTCTTTCTTTCTTTTTTTTTTTTGGATGGGGGTCTCACTCTGCCACCCAGGCTAGAGTGCAGTGGTGTGATCTCAGCTCACTGCAACCTCTGCTTCCTGGGTCGAGTGATTCTCCTGCCTCAGTCTCCTGAGTAGCTGGGATTACAGGTGCCCACCACCATGCCCAGCTAATTTTTGCATTTTTAGTAGAGATGGGGTTTCACCATGTTGGTCAGGCTGGTCTCAAACTCCTGACCTCAAGTGATCCATCTGTTTCAGCCTACCAAAGTGCTGGGATTACAGGCGGGAGCCACCATATCCAGCCAACATGCAGATTTTTTTCAACCAAACACAGATAAAAAATGCAGTATTTCTGGGGTGCAAAACTCATCTACATTCTATAACCTATGCTATAAACATGGGCTCTGCAGGGCTGACTGCCAGATGTGAATGTGCTTGGATTTTGGTATAAGTGGGAGTTCTGGGACAAATCCCTTGAGTATAAACAGGGGTGACTTAACTCCCAAGTCTCTGGCTTAGGTGACTGGATAATGGTGGCATTCTTAAGTGAGACAGACAAAGTAGGAGAGGAGGCAGTTATGGGAAAAAGGGTTTGCAGTCAATTTAGGAGTTTGAGAAGTCTGTGGTGCATTTAAATGGAGTTGCACAGCTGGTTGTCGAATATGTTGAGTTTAGAGCCTGGGATTGAGAACACTTTCAACTGGAAAGGATACTTTCTGGCCTGCAACACAATTATCATCCTCAGACACTTCTTCCCTGGTATTTTGGGAAGTACACTATTTCCTGTTTTTCTCTTCATCAGTTTACTTTCTTGTTTTGCTGAAGTATGTGGTTAAGTAAATTCCTGAGAAAGCATGCAAAGCATTCTGAGCCTTTGCATTTCTGAAAATAGCTTTATTTGTCCTTAATCTAGTTTAGCTGAGTATAGAACTCCAAGTTAAAGATAATTGTTCATCTGAACTTTGCTATTGAAAAATAAAATGTCAGTTTGGGTCTAATTCCTTTGTAGTTAACTTCACTCCCAACCCTACCTGCTTCTGCCAGAAACTTTTAGAATTTTCCTTTTGTTCTTGGTGTTCTAAAAATTCATGTCCTTTTCAGAGCCCTGAAATTTTTTTCTATTATTTCATTGATGATTTCCTTCCCTCCATTTTCCCTCTCTTTCTTTTTTCTTTTTTTGAGACTCTCTGTCACCCAGGCAGGAGTGCAATGGTGTGATCATAGCTCACTGAAGCCTTAACCTCCTGGGCTCAAGTGATTCTCCCGCTTCAGCCTCCTAAGTAGCTGGGACCACAGCTATTTATTTTTTGTAGAGCTGAGGTCCTGCTATGTTGCTGAGTCTGGTCTTGAATGCCTGGGCTCAAGCAATCCTCCCACCTCAGCTTCCCAAAGTGTTGGAATTAAAGGAGTGAGCCACTGCACTGGCTCTTATTCTTTCTTTCTGAAATTACTATGTATTAGTTGGATATTGTACATCTTACATTCGTGCTCTGTGTTTCTTATTTCTCTTCTTCCTTTTTTGTTGTATTGTGGACTTCCCTGGTTTGAGAGTTGATCTCTGTATTATATTTTATTTTTGAGACGGAGTGTCAATCTGTTGCCCAGGCTGGAGTGCAGTGGCTTGATCAGAGCTGACTGCAGCTTCAAACTGCTGAGCTCAAGCAGTCTTCCCACCTCAGCCACCTGGGTATTTGGGACTACAGGCACTCACCACCATGCCTGGTTAACATTTCTATTTTTTTATGGATGGGGTTTCACTATGTTGCCCAAGCTGGTTTCAGACTCCTGGGCAATCCTCCTGTGTTGGCCTCCCAAAGTACTGCAATTACAGGCATGGACCACCATGCCTAGTCTGTTTCCTGTTTTATATTTGATTTTTGTTCTGAAAGCATCTTGTTTTATAAATAAAATGCCTTCTACAATTGAAAAAAATATATATATATTTTCTCTCTTTCCCTTTATATATATCTATACCTCTATGTCTGTCTATCTATCTATCTATCTATCTATCTATCTATCATCTATCTATATATCTATCTATGGAGAGAGATGGAATTTCACCGTGTTGCCTAAGTTGATCTTGAACTCTTACAGTCAAGTGATCTGCCTGCATTGGTCTCCCAAAGTGCTGGGATCATAGGTGTGAGCCACCGCACCGGGCCAGATTTTTTTTTTTTTTTTTTTTTTTGAGATAGGGTTTCACTCTGTCATCCAGGCTGGAGTGCTTTGACAGGATCTTGGTTCACTGCAACCTCCGCTTCCCAGGCTCAAGTGAGTCTCGTACTTCAGCCTCCCAAGTAGCTGGGACTACAGGCATGTGCCACCTCGCCTGGGCTAACTTTTGTATTTTTAGTAGAGACGGAGTTTCGCCATGTTGGCCAGGCTGGTCTTGAACTCCTGGCCTCAAGTGATCTGCCCATGTCAGTCTCCCAAAGTGCTGGGATTACAGGTGTGAGCCACCATGTCTGGCCAGATATTTTTGATTATACTAATAAAAGACCTTCATAGTTTCCTAAATTTTTTTCTATTTCTTCCACAGTTTTTGTTGTTATTGTTTACTCTTTATTTTGTTGTTATTAGTTCACTTGGTCTTTCTCTTCTGTTGTGCTAAATGTACTTAAATGCTTGGTGGTCCTTGGATGTCTACTTATATTTAAGAAAAGTCTGGAGAATGGCATGGATTTTCTCCACCATTGTATAAATAGGTCTGTTTTCATATCACATTTTTCCTCTGAATGGGAATGTGGACTGGAGACTGTATGTGGTATGGCAGGAGGTGTGAAATGGCAAATCCCAAAGGATGGGAAGGCAGGAGTGGGATATTAGGTTGTGGCTTCCTAAATGCCAACATAGGAAGGATTTTCTGTGGGGCACAGAAACATCTAATGTCTACACTAGAAACCTTGGTCTTTAGCCGATAATTTGTTCAGTGTTTTCAGAGGACAGTTATCGGGCTGTTAGTTCAGAACTAAGCACATTGGTGGTATGTGAGGGAAATGGTAGAGGGTGATGGCGCATGCTTACTGATACAGATGTTCCCTGTTCAGACCATCAAGTAACCCTCTCGTTTTCTGCTCCAGTTCCTGTTTCCACCATCTATAGCACATACAGACTCTGAGCAGAGAATCTCCCAGGTTTCTGAAAATGCATTGAGTTTTGCACATCCTCTGTAATTCTCTTGTAACATCTGGCCCAAGTCATAGCTTCCTGTTTCATCCAACAAGATACTCTCACATCTGCTTTTTGTCTTTCAGAAGATTTCTGACATTTCACCTGCTGTTAACTCTTCTTGTTCCCTTTGTGGATTATTTCCTTTTTATAATATTTACAATTGTATTTCAGTGGGCCCTCAGGAGAGGTTGGATGCAGCCTACCATCTTGAACTACAGTAAACAATTCACAATGGTTTTAACCTAGCTGCTTCTTTCATCTATGATCTAAGCTATTTATTTGATTAATCCCTTCAATGAGTATATCTATATTCACTGACATTCATTCATTCAATAACTAATGAACACAGATTATTTATCAGGTGCCATGGATATATAGTTGAAAAGATATACCCTGCTCTTTGTATTAATGAGACAGATACATAAATAGACAATTTCAACATGTTTTAGCAAGAGTTACAATAAAGCTAGAAAACTCTGGGGAAGGAGCACCCAGAATTTCCTGGAGGGATTACAAAATGATTCACAAGGAAGTTGATAATCGAAATCCATGCCTGAGGATGAGTTGTAGTTTTCTACACAGATGAAGGTAAGGAGATATGGAAGTAAGGGCAGAGGACTGAAATGTACAATCTAGGGGAAACAGTATAGTACCTCATCATAAAGAATTATCTGGTTCAAATGTCAGTGGTACAGACCAAAGGAGACCATGTCATTCAAAAGAGGCAACTTAACCCAGCAGAGAATGAGCTTAGAATGGTCCTTTAGCCGTGCCCCATCACTCAGGAGGAAGCGGGTTCATGAGGAAGACCAAATCAAGTTTCAGGACATAAAGAAACTTTGCACATTTGAGTTTACTGTGTGAATTGTAAACCCCAACTTTTCTGGTTATTATTGAGATTATTTGTGATATTTGTTGAGTAACAACTTATAGTAAGATGAGGACTCCACTTGAATTTTATTTTGTTTCAGTCAGTCATGGTACCATGCTTTTCCCATGACTTCAGTTCATAATTAAAAGTCATTTCCGGTTCAAAAAATGAGAATTAAGGGATTGTTTGTTTTGGTAAATTCCACTTACCTCTTTTTTGAGCCAGTCATTCTCCCAGATCGCTAGATAACTGCCCTTGTCAATGAGCTTTACCGCATTCTAAAAGAAAGTTTCTGGATTAAGGACGAGTTGTCACATGCTGATTCACAATTTTAGCAACACTGATGCACAGTTTACTTGATCATTCATTTTAGATTGTGTCTGCAATTATTTCAGGAACATACTTAAGAACGTTTGGTTTGATTGTTCAATCTTTACTATTCTATTATATTGCTTTTGCTGATTTACACTGTCAATTACAGGTGATTTGGAGAACTGGACAATGTATAACTGACTATTCAGTTGACCTCCATTGTGACTGAATCTGACTGCCATGGTGAAATCATCTTTCACAATTAAGATGGTTAAACTGCAGTCATCAAACATTCCTTAAGTTTATAGTCCCAGACGTAATCCAACATATAGCAAAAGCATGAACAGATGACTACCTTTTTAATTTGAAAAAATTTTGCATGTCATTAATTACAACATACATATTTTTAAATCTAACAGCAAGTAGTTTGAGGGTAGCAGGCTAGATAGTCTCCTGAAGAAAGGCATTTCAGACAAAGAAGACAAAAGTCTTTATCAGTAGGATTATAAAATATAAATTTATTTTCAATTACGTGGATATTGAAAAGAATTTCATAGTGAATAACCAACTGTATTTCTCTGTGAGATGCTTTTATATGGATACCATGGTACAAATTCAGTATTTAGTAACTGAAGGCCACAACCAAAAGAAGAGAAATTAAGAAAAATATTCTAGATTATAAACATGAACAGAAATGATTTAAAAGTATGTTAAGGGCAAATTTTACCTTTAAAGTATTTTATTTATTTATTTTTTTGAGATGGAGTCTCACTGTTTCACCCAGGCTGGAATGCAGTGGTGTGATCTTGGCTCACTGCAACCTCTGCTACTGGATTCAAGGGATTCTTCTGTCTCAGCCTCTGGTGTAGCTGAGATTACAGGCACCTGCCACCACACCTGGCTAATTTTTCTATTTTTAGTAGAGATCGGGTTTCACCATGTTGGCCAGGCTGGTCTTGAATTCCTAACCTCAAGTGATCCACCCACCTTGGCCTCGCAAAGTGCTGGGAGTACAGGTGTGAGCCACTGTGCCCAGCTCTATTAAAGTCTTTTTTTTTTTTTTTTTTTAATTTTTTATTGGATTATAGGTTTTGGGGTACATGTACAGAGCATGCAAGACAGTTGCGTAGGTACACACATGACAGTGTGCTTTGCTTTTCTTCTCCCCTTCACCCACATTTGGCATTTCTCCCCAGGCTATCCCTGAGTTGAAAGACTTGCCATAAAAATATTGCTTTAAGTCATGCTTATTAAATTACAAGTGGACCTATATTTCTTAGGAACCAGGAACTTTTATACTCCAGTTACAACTAATAATTCTAATTTCTTCCAACACAGAATTTCATTTGGACAAAAGCAAGAAGTAGCTCCTAACTGAAGTTAATTTGCTAATGGCTGGATTCTAACAGTGGATGGTGATTTCAACCTTAGTTACATATTTGAATCTCCTGGAAGCTTAGAAAAGTCCAGAAGCCCACACAACATCCCAGGGCAATATATCAGCCTTCGCTAAGGGTGAGATACAGGTATCACCTGGGTTAAAAAAGTTTCTCGGGTGACTCCAATGTGCATCTAAGGTTGCACAGCACTGGATTATAGGATATTGAACTGTATGATAAAATAGCCAGCTAAAATGAGGAAAAGTCATTCAAGCATGTGAGTGTTCGGCATTCTGTGGAGAAAAGAAAATGGTATAGTTTAGAGATTAGGAGCAATGATCTGAAGGAGTCCTTCTGAAATGAATCTCGATCTTCCCACTTGCTCTGGGCAAATCATAAAACTGTTCTGTGCTCCAGTCTCCTCATTAGCAAGTCTCTACAGCTTACTGGATTGCTGAGAGACTTAAATGTGAAATGCTTGAAAGAGTATTTAGAAAAATCCTCATGATATATTCTTTAAGTCATATGCTTATTTGGCCTATATATCCACTTTTCATCATCTTAACTATGGTCAGATTACTTAATGGTTGATTTCACCATGTGAGTGAGTCAGATTCACTTACAAACTGGCTGAACTGCATGAGCAAATAAATTGCTGATCAATTGTCCAAAATCTTCTGTATTTGTGTAAATTAGTAAAAAAAAATGCAATAAAAGAGTAAGAATAAAAGAACGACTGAACCAACAGGGATGCAACAAATAGCAACTGAAATTCAGTAAGGAACATTTTTGAAAAAAGAACAGATGTTTATTTCTTCTGAGAAAAGAATGTCGCAGATGAACAGACAATCTCAATGGGGGATCTCACTAATTTGGAAGATAGTTTGAAGAGAGGTCAAGATTGTAAAAAAAAAAAGTCAGATATTTTATGTAAAACAAAGGAATTATAGAACATATAAGGTTGAAAATTATGCCTCAAAAAATGCTTTATATCCCCAATTTTTAAGGTGCCAGCAATATAGAATATACTCTCTTCGGTTTGTATAAATAAGAAAGTACTTTCTCTACAAATTATATTTCATTTTATGATTCATTTAAAACTTTTATTTTAATATTTTCATACAACCATTATTACAGTTTGAGCATTCAAAATCTGAGAATGTGAAATCTAAAATGCAATGAACATTTTCATTGACCATCATGTTGGCACTCAAAAAGTTTCAGACTGTGGAGAATTTCAGATTTTTTTTTTTTTTTTGAGACAAGGTCTCATTTTGTTGTCCAGGCTGGAGTACCGTGGTGCAAATATGGCTAACTGCAGCCTAGACTTCCTGGGCTCAAGCAGTCCTCCTGCCTCAGCACCCCAAATAAATAGTTGGGACTACAGGCATGCACCACCACTTCCAGCTAATTTTTGTATTTTTGGTAGAGACAGGGTTTCACCCTGTTGCCCAAGCTGGGCTCAAATTCCTGAGTTCAAGCAATCTACCCACCTTGGCCTCCCAAAGTACTGAGATTGCAGGAGTAAGTCACTGCACCCAGCGCAGACTTCTTTTGATTTTGGATTTTGGGATTTGAGGTGCTCAACTGGTATAATGCAAATATTCCAGAATCTGAAAAAATCCAAAATCTGAAACATGTGTCAAATAAGGGATACTCAACCTATATTCCTTATACTTAAAAAAATCTGATTAATAATTCAGTGATCAGCCAAGCATGGTGGCACATGCCTGTGGTCCCAGATACTCAGAAGGCTGAGGTGACAGGATTGCTTGAGCCCAAGAGGTGAAGTCTGCAGTGAGCTGTGACTGTGCCACTGCACACCAGCCTGGGCAACAGAGCAAGATCCTGTCTCAAAAAAAAAAAAAGAAAAGAAAAAATTAACTGAGCTCTTGCTTCTTGTGAGACATTATGGTACTTAAATAATCTCATTTAATCATCACACTGTTTCTTTAAAGTATATACTAGTATTATTCTCCATTTTATAGGTTAGAAAACAGAAGCCCAGAAAAGCTAAGTAACAAATTCATTATGCAGCCAGTAAGTGTAGAACAGTAGTTTAAACTCAAACTGTCTGCCTTCAGAATGCATGTTCTTAGGTTTGGATATATAAGAAAGTACTTTTTAGACAAATTATATTTTATTTTATGATTCATTCAAAACTTTTATTTTAATATTTGTTACAGCCATTATTACAAGTTGAGCATCCCAAATTTGAGAATATACCCGAAGTCCTTAAGCACTATAATATACCTAAAGAAAATACAGGGGGAAAATGTTTGTTTTGTTGTGTTTTTAAGAAAATTGAATTATACCTGTGTAGCCCATTCCTTCTTTTGGTCCAGTTGCAACAAAGTTTCTTTGACTATTTTCTTTCTAGAATCTTCCAGAGTGACTTTATAGTGTTCTTAAAAAAAAGAAAGAAAGAAAGAAAATTAAAAGCCTTAACAATAAGGCTGATTCTAGGTAAAACTATGATGTCAGTAAATTTTATTTTCCATCATTCTCACTTCTCCTTTCTACACATTTTTTCCCTGAATTTTCAGAGTATGTTTTTACTGATGAATGTAGTTCCTCCAATTAAAAGATATACTCTAATAATTTACTAGTACCTTAATATGAATTACTTTAAGATCTCTTACACAAGAACATTTGTATTTTCAAAGGACCATCTCTCCAAAGGCAGAATTTCAAACAGTTCAGCATTTGTGTGGCAGTCTACCTTTCATATTACACAACCTATTACTTCACAACAAAAATATGAAGACTTTATTATCTGTTCAAGTAGCTTTCTGTCTATCTGACTCCATCTAACTAGATTTCCACTATTCTTGGCATGTGTTTCCTGGGGAAGGAAAGACAGAACGAGGAGAGGAAAGTAGATAGGGATTAAGGGACTGGGAAAGTTGACAGACCTGGTTGTAAGTTAGGCTCAGGCAAGAAAGAAAGACAGAAAGAAGCACAGGATTCTCTGTCCTCTCCAGATTTTCTCATGCTCACAAATGTCATTATTGAGAGAGCAAAGAATCATAAAATTTTAGGCCATGAAAGATGTTTAGAGATCATGTAATCAACATCCCTTCTTAAGGAAAATGAGACGATGGATAGCAAGGCTACTTTAAAGAGTGGAGAATAAAAAGCTGGACAAATGAGTCTAATTTGTTAATTCTTGTTTTCAACAAATAACTATCGAAATCTTTTTGTATGCTAAACAGTGCGTATACCCTGCAAATATTGCTGATTAAGACAGAAAAAAACCCTGTCCTTGTGATATGTACATTCTAATAGGGAAGCCAGATCATAAATAAGTAAACAGGTAAATAAATAATATTTCAGGTGGTGATGTGTGTGAGGAAGGAAAACTAAAATTCTCTATTTTAGTTCAAGTGGTCAGAGAAAGCTTTTTTTGAGGAGGTAACATTCAGGGATTGAATAAGGTAGTCAGCAATGTGAAAAATGAGGAATCTGTACTACAAACCAGTTAATCTGACAACAATCAAGGTTAATTGTGTTTTATTAGAAGTTCTGTGTTATATATTTCCATTAGTTGTGCTTTATTTATATAACAGGACGATTATTTGGAATTCAGGAAGTATTTTCCCATACAAATGATGTTGAAAAATCATGGCTGCTAGATTTCTGGAGAGGTCCAGAGGCTTACTTCACTTATCCTATAACTCAACAACAGTATTGTACTAACAGTGCTACAGAACCTTATTTCCATTTAGGACAGCAGTCCTCAACCTTTTTTGCACGAGAAACTGGTTTCGTGGAAAACAGTTTTTCCACAGACTGAGTGGGAAAGGAGGATGGTTTGGGGATGATTCAAGTGCATTACATTTATTGTGCACTTTATTTCTATTAGTATTACATTTTAATATATAATGAAATAATTATACAACTCACCATAATATAGAATCATGGTGAACCCTGAGCTTGTTTCACTGTAACTAGATGGTCCCATCCAGGGGTGATGGGAGACAGTGACAGATCATTAGACGTTAGATTCTCATATGGAGGATGCATCCTAGATCCTTCACATGTGCAGTTCACAGAAGGGTTTGCTCATCTAAGAGAATCTAATGTCGGTGCTGTTGGACAGGAGGCGGAGCTCAGGTGGTAATGCAAGTGATGGGAAGCGGCTGTAAGTACAGGTGAAGCTTCACTTGCTTACCCACCATTCACCTTCTGCTGTGTGACCTGGTTCCTAACAGGCCACAGACTGATCTTGGTCTGTGGCCTGGTGGGGTTGAGGCCCTCTGATTTAGGGAATTGTTTCAAAGGGAAATTTTTCTTCACAGACCAAGTCAGCCAAAGAAGAACGCTCAGGGATCTTATGCTATAAAGAAGGAGATCTGCAGGTCTGGTCTTTCAGTTGACCAGGAACCCAACTGCCACCAGAACTCGGGGGCCAGAGAGCTGGGAAGAGTTATTCAGCCCTTATCTATACTTCGTACTGGCATAACCATTTTCCCTATTAGATGAAAACGCTGAGAGTAGAAAGTAAAAACTTCTCTTCCATATCTTTCCATTACTGTATCCCTGGGACACAATATATGCCAAAAAGTATTTTGAAGAAAATAAAATTTGGCAAACTGCAAGTCTTTGGTGGGCAGTGATCTGAGGCTTCCGCACCAGAAAACAAATATTGGTTCTTCTCCTTCTCTTTTTTTTTGAGATGGAGTTTCGCTCTTGTTATCCAGGCTGGAGTGCAGTGGCGCGATCTCGGCTCACCGCAACCTCCGCCTCCTGAATTCAAGCAATTCTCCTATCTCAGCCTCCCTAGTAGATGGGACTACTACAGGCACGTGCCACCATGCCCAGCTAATTTTTGTACTTTTAGTAGAGACGGGGTTTCACCTTGTTGACCAGGATGGTCTCTAGCATTTGACCTGGTGATCCACCCGCCTTGGCCTCCCAAAGTGCTGGGATTATAGGCGTGAGCCATTGCGCCCGGCGGTTCTTCCCCTTCTCGGGCAGCTTTGGTGGGGAGGAGAAGAAGGGGTAGACAGAAAGAAGGGGAGAGTTCTCCCAACTTGTGGGGTGGCCAGAAAAGGCGGTTAGGGGAGGTCAGTTTCTGCCTCTAATAGAGATGGACTAGAGTGAGGCAGTGGTTCAAAAGGAAGAAGTTCGCTAAGTTTTTGGAGTTAGTCTAATTTGACATCTGGAGAATAAGAAATGGAAGTCTTCATTATTGTAACCTACATATTTCCATTTATATAGCTTGGATTTTTCCTTATTTATTTGAAGTAATCCCATAAATATTTTGAGCCTTCCAAACTAATTTCTGATGGAATTTCTTTTTTCAGTTCACAACCTAGCCCATTAGCTTAATGTTGGTTATTTATTTGAACTTCTACTCAACAAAACACAATAATCTATCTAAAAGTTGCAATGAATCAGGAGCCTAATGGATTTTAGTTTCTGAAAGAAACCATAAAACCTGGAGCTTGATAACATGAAATATTAATTCCTGGCTGTAAATAATTTAAAAATAGATTATCAAATATGCTCTGACTAAAGATGTAGCTTTCTCTATTGCCTTATTAATACTGAAAAAGCAATATTCACATTCGACTCTCTTCCAACTTTCATATAAAATTATACAGACCATTTTTCTTCTTAAAAGTGCAGTACCCATCACAAGGGTGAATGTGAGAATCTCATTGTTATCTTTTGTGGTTCAGATGATGCTTCTGGTAACAACAATTAACGATTTATTGGTGAATGCAGCCAAAGAAAGTGGGAGCACATAAAAGTCTCCTCATTAAAGCTCGAGACACTGCAAGTGGGAGCTTGAGAGATTAGGACTGTGCAGAAGACTCCTTGCTTCTCGGACACACCATCTAACGGGGTCCCTTTTCAGAAGCTGACACCACCTCAAATTGTACTGGCTAAAGCTTGCTTTGCACTGTTCCACCTTCCCTGTTGTGTATGGCTCTGCTTTGGTTTACTCCTTCATGGCCTGTTGGGAGCTTCGTTATTCACTCTTCTCCAACTTCTGGGGTCACACAGCTCCATCCTGTTGACCCTCCCCTGTGGCAGTGGCCTCTTTTCAGCCCTTTTTGGAGAAAACTGAGCAAGAGCTAGCAGAAACACTGGCCAGGTAGTAATCTCTTCAGCGTGACCCCTAACTCACTGAATCACAGACTCAGGGGGACTATTTGAAGCAGATGGGGTGCTCACTTGGGCAGCACAGATACTAAAATTGAAGCAGATGGGTTTGGGGCCTAACATACCTGGGTTCAAATTGCTGTTCCATTAGTTACTAACTTTGTGAGTTTGATAAAGGCAATTAACTTCTCTGGGCCTCTGTTTTCTTATCTTTAAACTGGGCATAATTATATGTAACTCAAAGGAACCTGTAAGGATTAGACAAGATATGGAAAAGCAGATGCTGGAAATGTGTGTCCTCTTGGAGATCACCTAGAGACTCTGACTTTATAGGCAAGAAAACATTCAAAGAAGCAATGCCACTTTTTTTGTAAGGAGTCTTGAACCTAGTTTTTAAAAATTTGCTGTTAGTGTACAAAGAACTTTTAAGAATCCCTGACCTGTGCCCCAGTAAAGGACAAAAATAAAAATGCTCTGTGACTGTAATTATATAATGACTTGTAATAACCTCTCACCTTCTCTGTTCCTGGGCTTAATCTAAGGTCCCTTTTCCTTTTATTGAGGAGAAGTAGCCTTGGCCTGGATGTATTAGTGACTGTTTTCTGTACCAGTGTCCCAATATCCCATTCTAGCTAAAGTTCAGGGAAGCAACTCTAAGTGTTTTCTCCTGCCCCTGGCTTCAGGGGAGGCTGCTGAATAAGGCAGGCAACTGAGGAACAGTTTGTGGTGGGGCTGACTGGTGACCCATGAGGAAGTGTGGACAAAGGCCTTGGGTCATCTTTGATGAAGTGGATGATGGCACTGGCTGTCTTTAGAAGTGGGCTGGAGAATACTGCAATAACTGTTCTGTGGGAAGTAGAAGGGGGACAGGTATGCAGATCAAAGCAGAGGTGCCAATGAGAGGGACAGTCACAAATCAGGGGAGAGAAATGTGGGGAGGAGCCATGACTAGAGCCACAACTAATCTCATTCTGTCTGTAGTCTTCCTCTTTCTCACTTGTATTACAGCCAACAAGTATGACCCTTGGGAAGTCAAGCAATTTATTATTTGTCTCTCCTTTAAAAAGTCACACTGTGAGGCTATTGACTTCTTCTCAATAAAATATATGGTAAATCCTATGACTCCTAGTGCCTTTGCGTAACAAAAGGTACTCCAACAGGTAATTAATACGTCCTGAATATTGCAATAATTTAAATTTCTTTCATAGTTACAGCAATCCCCTTTCCTAACATGGACCTACTGCTATTTCCTCTGCCTTGAGCTTCCATGATTTCTCTCTCAGTGCTGAAAGGAAGACAGGAGCATGGAAAAACCAAAGAAAGCTCTCACTTGACTGATACTGTCTTAAGCTCATGTCCACTTTCTGGTCCTAGCTGGCATTTAAGACTGATGCCTTGCTCATGGGAGTGTTTTAGTAGGTTCTTTGGAGGATAAGCTTTCCAATTTCAAATGATATTTCATCTGCATTCCCTTGATGCTGAGCAAATACTGTCCTTAGAAGTTGGTAACAACTTTTCTGTTGGTCCCTGATTTTCAATTCTGCACCCCTCTCCCACACATACAAGATCCCGATTTTTCTGTTGGGGAACTATCACCAGCCCCCAACACCCTAGTCAGCTGTCTCAGGCAAGATTTCATGTGACTGTTCCCCAACTCTCTCTCATAATAAGTTGACAAAAAACATTCCTCCACTCTTTGTCTTGACAAACTCAGGAGTGCAGGCCCTGCCCAAGGCAGCAGCCACCTCTTCTGTGTTCTGCTGTCAGTGTGGTTAGCTCATCAGCCACTTATTCCCTAGATTTCTCAGGGATGAGTCATAAACTAGACCTGAATGTCCAAACTACAGGGGACACGTACTGAAACATCTGATGAGTCTCTCTGAAGACCTTCCATCCAGATGTGAGATGGAGGAGGAATTACATTTTACCTGCTTCTCGGTGGGGGAAAGTGTAGGACTGATAGCACACCAAGAGCTCTTTCCAAAAGCTGTCCACTAATTTCTAATAACTTTTTCTTGGCCTCTCTAACTTCTTTTGTAGGCTGGAATTCATTAGTCCAAGGTGTGAAACTGGTTTTCTTCTTCATCAAATTGCAAATCTGTGTGGTGGTATCTCATCTCATTTTGCTACCTCAGTGTAAAAGCTGAGACTTTAAATAAAGTTTTAATATCCTGTTTCACTTACAGCAGTCTCCCAGCCTCCAACAATAGTCTGAGTCGATCTCTGTTCCTTGCATGTAAAGCAGCCTAACTAACACAAACCCCATAATTGTTGGAGGAGAATTCCAGGAAAATCATGAAAGAAGGGAGCCTATGTAGAAGAGGAAAAGTAGGAGAAAAAGAGGGGGGTGATGGTAGTAATCCTTCAGATAGACTGATTTAGGAGTCTTGCTCATATTCATTGTGTCTAGTTAGTGGTCCCCAACTTGTTTTAATAGTTCTCCTGGTGGAGTTGCTGCTGCTACCTGGATGGTTAGGAGAAGTGCCTAAAACTAATGGAAAATAAGACAAGCTCATAACTATTTTCTCATGGCTGTGCCCCATGGCTTGGCCAGCAAATAATTCAATATATAAATGTTATTACCACCCCAAAGTTGAATACAGCTGCATGAAAATTTTTAAGTTAAAGAAATCATCCTAGTTAACAATTAATTCATTAATTTAAAATAAGGTCTTGCTCTGTCACCCAGGCTGGAATGCAGTGGCGCAATCTTGGCTCACTGCATCCTCTGCTTACTAAGCTCAGGTGATCCTCCCATATAAGCATCCTAAGTAGCTGAAACCGCAGATGTGTGGTACCACACCAGATAATTTTTGTATTTTTGGTAATGATGGGGTTTCACCATGTTGCCCAGGCTGGTCTTGAACCCCTGAGCTCAGGTGATTCACCCACCTTGGACCCCCACAAAATGCTGGGATTACAGGCATGTGCCACCATGCCTGACCCAATTATCCAAACTTCTGATCAAGATAATGGGTTAAGTTTATATGAGATCACTTTTCTGACTTTAAAAATGTAAAATAAATACTGGCTAAAATATTTAAAATTTTGAAGACATACCAGAACAATAACTTTTAAAAAAGTATTCTCCTGGTTAGCAAATGTATAGGCAGATTTAATAAATAGTAGGCAATAAGATTCAGCTATATATGAGAAGTTAATGTATAATAAAGTTTGCACTTCTAATCATTAGGATAAAAACTGCTTATTTGATAATGATGTTGGAACAACTGGAAAACTATTTGGTAAAAAAGTTGGATTACTTCCTCACACAAAAACAAAGACTTAAATATTAAAAAAAATAAAAATTTTAGAATAAAATATTGGAGAATTTATTCATAATCTCATAAACATAAAATCAAAAACTGACAAGTTGGGCACTTTAAAGCCACAACATTGCTTCATTACCCACAAACAAAAAAAACGAATGACAAATGGGAAAAATATTTGCAATTTATATCACAGTTAAAGAGCTAATTTCTTTAAAATGTAAAGAGTGCCACAACACAATAGAAAAATGGGTGAAGGGTGTGAACAAAATGAGTCATGGGAAAGGAAATTCATATAGCTCTTGAAGTTATGAAAAGATACATTCGTTGTCACAAAAGAAATGGAAGTTAAAACTACAATGAGATGCCATTTTTGATCCATAAGACTGACAAAGAAAAATTTGGATACTACCCCCTGTTGTTGAAGATGTGGGAAAATAGGTATCCTCATGCATACAGATAGAAGTGTAACTTGGTACAACCTCTATGGAGGGCCACATTTATCGCAGTAAAATAAATAGGCTTTTTCACACAACCATTTCTTTGAGAGGTACACATTAGTGAAATGACATAAATACAAGAATATTTGTCACAGGAAAATGAGATAGGTGTAAGGATAGTCATTGCAGCATTATTTGTAATAGTAAAAGACTAGGAACAACCTTAATGTTTATGAGTAAGAAACTGTTTAAAAAAATTATGGTTACCAGCCTGGGCAACACAGTGAGGCCTCTACAATAAATAAATAAAATTAGCTTTCCCAACACCATTTATTAAATAGGGAATCCTTTCTCCATTGCTTGTTTTTGTCAGGTTTGTCAAAGATCAGATGGTTATAGATGTGTGGCATTGCCTCTAAGGCCTCTGTTCTGTTCCATTGGTCTATAGCTCTGTTTTGGTACCAGTATCATGCTGTTTTGATTACTGTAGCTTTGTAGTAGAGTTTGAAATCAGGTAGCCAAATGCCCATTGATGATAGACTGGACAAGGAAAATGTAGCACATATACACCATGGAATACTATGCAGCTATAAAAGAAAATGAGTCTGTGTCCTTTGTAGGGACATGGAAGAATCTGGAAACCATCATTCTCAGCAAACTGACACAAGAACAGAAAATCAAACACTGCATTTTCTCACTCATAGGCCGGTGTTCAACAATGAGAACACATGGACACAGGGAGGGAGCATCACACACTGGGGTCTGTTGGGCAGGGGGAGCCAAGGGAAGGACAGTGGGGGAGTGGAGAGGTCAGGGAGGGATAACATGGGGAGAAATGCCAGATGTAGGTGACGGGGATGGAGGCATGTGTACCTATGCAACAATCCTGCATGATCTGCATATGTACCCCAGAACCTAAAGTACAATTTAAAAAAAAATTAGCTAGGTGTGGTGGCACATGCCTGCTGTCCCAGCTATTCAGGAGGCTGAGATGGGAGGATCATTTGAGCCTGGGAGGTAGATAGAGGCTGTAGTGAGCCATGTTCACGCAACTGCATTCCAGCCTGGGTGACAGAGTGAGACCCAGTTTCAAAAAAAAAAAAATTATGGTACAACAAAACAATGCAACCACTGATTTAGAAGGTTGTTCATATTGTTACATAAAAAGCAAGTAAAACATATCTATAACATGCTATTTGTGATATATATATATATATGTAAATGCATAGGCTATCTCTGACTGCTACATAAGAAACTGGTAATCGTGGGAAAGGATCTGAGTAGGGAAAGAGGGAATAGAAGGCTGACACTCTCGTTCTCTTTTCAGGAGAAAAACCTTTGACAAATTGGAACTTCAAACCCAGACTGACATGGGGGCAAGTTTACACTATCACTGTGGTGCAGAGGCCCTAAGCTGCGAAACTTACATACAAACTGGTCCACAAGCAGAGGTCGCTCACAGGGGAACATGGGAACAAACCACAGGAACCCCTCCATAACACAGGGCACTATCTCCAGCTGGGTCCTGGATGGTTGTCCACCCACAGCAACTCTTTTGGGCCAGATTTCCCCTATTAATTCTGTCCTTTGACTTCTATGTCTGGGTCTTTGGTGTTCTTTTAAGCCTCTATGATTGCCTCAGTGACAGATAGCTGGCCTTCATCGTGTCCAGATCTAGTCTGGTAAGCTTCATTGCTCCTGATGCCATCCTACTCTACAGCCTCTCCACTTCCCATCTCATGTTTGTTTCCCCGTTTTTTCCTGGCTACAATTTAATTGACTTCGACATTTCTCCATGATGATTCTGGCTATTCAGCCTGGCTAAGCTGACTTAGCTTGCCCCAAGTGAATTCTCTTTATAATATAACCTGGCCTCAGGACATTGCTATCTTGGTGGAATTGCTTTTGCAGATCCCATTCATTGAATGAAGCTTCTTTCTTCTTTTTATTTATTTATTTTTTTGAGACAGGGTCTTGCTCTGTCACCCAAGTTGGAGTGCAGTGGCACAATAATAGCTCCCTGCAGCCATGACCACAGCTCTCAACTGATCCTCCCTCCTCAGCCTCTCATGTTGCTGGGGCTACAGGCACGAGCCACCATGCCTGGCTGATTTTTAAATTTTTTTAGAGACACGGTCTCACTTGTTGCCCAGGCTGGTCTCAAACTTCTGGGTTCAAGCAATCCTCCAGCCTCAGCCTCCCAAAGTGTTCAGATTACAGGCATAAGCTACCACATCTAGCCACAAGCTTCTTTCTTAAAGTCATTTGGTCATAGGGTTTCTCCTTCCCATCCCCATTTCCTTATTTCCCCTTCTCAGTTTCACAGGTGGTCCTGGGATCATTTTTCTACTTCCTCCCTCCACCTTTACCCTTAGGCTCACAGCTGCTTGTGCTGACAGCAGAGTATTGAATGCTTCAGGGAGTACTCACATTTTTCTTCCACCAATGTATGCCCTACTAAAGATGTTTTTTATTGAACCTGAACTAGTTTTGTTGCAACTGACCTGACATTTTCTCTGCATTCTCTTTAACTGTGTTGATGTCATTTTGTAAGGAGGTAATGAGTTTAGCATGTTGTTCACTCCCTACGTTCTTGTACTCCTCCCAATATTCCTTTTCACCGAGTTTCTCAAGAAATAGTTTCTCAGCATTACTTATTTGTATGCGCATATCTGTTGAAAATAAAGACACTATGTCATTACTGGTGTCCTTGTAAGCACTATATGTTGCAAACTGGTTTTAAGAAGTTAAGATCTGATACTAAAATATTGTCAACTCATAAATACTATTTTACATTTAAAATTTAGGGAGTTCAAAACTATTCAAACTGTTGTTTATCTATCTCTCCTGATTCAAAATCTAAGTAAAATTAAACATCTGATTATAAAGTAGTTGTGTGGTTTGAGGCTTGATTGAAAGACATAATAGACAACCCATATACGTAGGAAGCTGCAGGTTTACATCATTCCTGTGATAGCTTAATAAGGGTCCTATTTTGTCTAGTGTATCATATACTATGTATTCATGATTAGTAAATTGTCATTTTTCTGGCCATTATGCCCTCTGAGCAAAAGTGGTTTCAACTTGTGTCCTTCCCAGGTCCTTGGCAACCATTTTTGTAAATAAATTGTTTGATTCAGTCATCTAAAGTTCATTTGTTTAGATTTCTCTTGTATGAAATGATAGCATCTGATAGTCATAATAACGTCTCCTCCCACCTCTCCTTTGGTAAAACCAGAGTGATAGATAAGTGCCCCAGTTAAATATGTACAAATATTGAACTGTTTCAGGGATATAAACTTTGTTTACTAAACATGACATTCTATTCAGTGTTTAGGCCTGAGTATGTTGCTGAAAATTTTTGAAAAAGAAGCATTATAGAAGAGTCAAGTATAACAAATTTAATGGCTGTTTGACTCATCACCATATGTCACCTTGTTTGAGAGTGCTTTGAAGGCAAGACCACATTATAGTCACCTCTGTAAATCCAGCACTTAGCACAGAGCCTGGCAATTAGTTGGTGCTCAATAAACATTTGTTGAATGACTGAAGCATTTCCATCAGGCCAGGGTGATATTCTTCAGTCCAGAGGGGCAGAAGGACTCAGGACTCACCTTTTCCCAAAGATGTACACAAGATACTAATTTTTTTTTGAGACAGAGTTTTGCTCTATCACCCAGACTGGAGTACAGTAGCGCGATCTCGGCTCACTGCAACCTCCCCCTCCTGGGTTCAAGTGATTCTCCTGCCTCAGCCTCCCGAGTAGCTGGGATCCCTACAGGTGCCCACCATCACGTCTGGATAATTTTTGTATTTTTAGTAGAGGCAGGATTTCACTATGTTGGCCAGGCTGGTCTCGAACTCCTGATGGCAGGCAGTCGACCCACCTTGGCCTCCCAAAGTGTTGGGATTAAGGGCATGAGCCGCTACGCCTGGACACAAGATACTGTATTTTAAAATCTCTTAACAAATGGTGCTTGTTATTTTCATTAAACAATTATTAATACTACTATAACCCAGATGGGCAGCTGTTCTCTCATTCGATCAGCCTACTACTGTCTCAGGCCTGTGCCCCATTCGGTCTTTGAGGGTTGGTAGATGTCACTGAAGATTGTAAAAGGGAAATGAATGTAGCGGTTGTTTTTCTACTTTTTTAGAACATTTTCTTTTCCCTTCTGGTATCACACACCTCAGAGATTTTTTTGTTTGTTTGTTTAAGCTGTAATCTGACAGCATGTGAGGCCTTGCATCCAGGTCAGAAGCACTCTTTCTCTGTTCACTGATGTGAAAAGACTAATATCCCCTTTATGCTTAGGCTAGTTTGAGTGGGATTTTTTTCCTTGCAACTGAAAGTCCTTACTAAAAGTTGGAAGAAAAGGGTTGCAGCAGTATTTCTCACACTTTTCTGTGCATAGGAATCCCCCTGGATCTTGTCAGAATGCAGATTCTGATTCAGTAGGTCTTGGGGGGGCCCTGGGAATCTGCACTATAACAAGCTGACAGGCGAAGCACCTGCTGCTGCTCCACACCAAAATGAGTTGCAAGGAGCTACCCGGGACATAAAGTGACTACCTCGGAAATGTTTTCCAGACACTTCTGTTCTCTTACTTTCCCTCTCTTCCTCCATGTCTGTGAGCTTCCTTTCTTCCCATGCATGCCCAGTCCTCCTCTGTCGTGCTCAGCAATGCAATGTGGCCCAGTTTTGTATGACACATTCCATGCTTGGCCCAAACCATAAACAGGCATATCTCAACTAACTGAGCCCAGTCCTTCATAAGGCGGTTTAATGAGCATACCTGAGCATCCTTTGGAGTCTCAATCCCATCTTAAGGGACTTGTTAAAGTATTCCTTCCAAAAATAAGCAGAACTCTCTTGGAAAGGAGTTGTGCAAAATATACTATCTACCATGTCATGAAATCATTATTGCCAATAAAGAGACTTAGGTAGGAGGAGGTCTGGAGGTCTATAGGAGCAGTTTTGAACTCCCCTAAAAATGAAACTTGCCTATTGATGTTTGGTTTTGGAAATGATTTCAGTCAAAACAACAAATAAGAGAGCCTGCTTTGTGCAAAGTGCTCAGGCAAGTAGGCACTTTGAGAAATCCAGAAATATGTGGATTTCCTAAGGGCTAACAAGTGATAGCACTTGGGTCTCTTTCTTGTGTTTTCCAGCTTCCTAGCAGAGATGTTATTTATGGAGGTTTTGGCAAAAATGGTTTGAGAGATCTTAGCAGCAAGTTAAGAATGAATAGGAATTTTAAAATGCGTATGACAAAACTGCATGATTTACCCTCAGTACCATGGTATTTCCTAAGCCTACAGCAAGAGTATGCCCTGGGTCTTTCATTGCCTGCACCTAGTGTCATTTCTACCCATGTTCTCCAAACTTCTCCTTTCCCAACTCTAATCCCTACTTCCCTTATCTAGATGGGATGCTTGGCTCCCTTAGAGATATTGGGAGAAACACGTTTCATGGTTATATTTGCCTTATCATTCCCAAATCTAAACTGAAGCTGAAGCCAATGAAGCCACCAAACAACAGAATTTTTAAAAAAGAAGAAAAAGTACAAAACCCTACTATGGGCAATGGTGTTTAACAGGATATCGTCTTGTTGTAAGAGTCAGATGAGGCTGGGTGCAGTGGCTCACGCCTGTAATCCCAGAACTTTGGAAGGCTGAGGTGGGAATAGCTCTTGAGCCCAGGAGTTGGAGACCAGTCTGGGCAACATAGCGAGACCTCATCTCTACCAAAAAGGAATGAAATTACAGGCATAGTGGTGTGCGCCTGGAGTCCTAGCTACTTGGTAGGCTGAGGTGTGAGGACTGCATGAGCCTGGGAGGTTAACTCTGCAGTGAGCTGAGATTGTACCACTGCACTCCAGCCTGGGTACCTGAACTAGACCCTGTCTCAGAAAAAAAGTCAGATGAATTTCATCTGTGTTTGATTACTACTCTTCTTCCACCTCCTTGCTTGGCTTCATTACCTCTACCCACTTTGTAATTTCCCTCTCCTGCCCAGTTACCTACATGTGTTTGTGGTTGTGGTGGTAATGATGTCATAAAATACATTCACAGCATTTTGAACATATTGGAAGAATAAAGCATTAATATATTCAAGAAATAACTTGGTACAACTCTGTGATAGTTTTCTATGTTCCTAAATTACCTTTCAAGTTTTTTTCCTGGTCTCTTTCAAACTTCCATTTTTCCTTCATTGCTTCTTCAACATTCTCTCTTGTTACAACTGGCAATCCCTCTGCCTTCTCTTCACTCAGTTCCTTTAGTAGATGCCGTATGTGCCAAATCTGTTCCTCTTTTAAGTGGCTATTCTATCATGAAAAGCAACAGTAATTCACATTTGATCAAGTACATACATTGTTTTTCCTCAAAATAGAGTCAAGAAGCTTCCTGCCTTTGGGTATCACAGGAAGCCAAGTGGGGAGCAAATTCTACTTCCACCAGGCATTATGAGAGGGGATATCCCCACTTCCCCTGGCAGAGTAATGCCAATAAAAGCTAGGTAAAACAGATGATTACAAATAAAATCTAGTCTTATGACATCATACAAAAATGTCCAGGGTTTAATAAATCACTCATCTTACCAAGAACCAGGAAGATTGTGAACTGAATAAAAAATGATAATATATAAATGCCAGTAGTAAGGTGGCTGACATTTTAGAATTATTATTTTTTCAATCGGTTTTTTTTTTTTTTTTATTGATGAGGTCTTGCTATGTTGCCTACACTGTTCTGAAACTCCTGGCCTCAAGTGATCCTCCTGCCTTGGCCTCTCAAAGTGCTAGGGTTACAGGTGTGAGCAGCATGCGTGGCCTATAACAAAAGATTCATGTTATTGGAGTATTGGGGGGAGAGAAAGAGGGCAGGACTGAAAAAGTACTCAGATAAATAATGGCTGCAAACTCCCCAAATTTCCAAGAGACATAAACCTATGAATTCAAGAATCTGAGCATACCCCAAACAAGATAAGCAGAAATAAGCTCATGTTAAGACACATCAGAATCAAACTTCTGAAAACTAAATACAAGGGAAAAGTCTTAAAATCAGTCAAAGAAAAACCACACCTTATGTATAGGGGAAAAACAATTAGAGTACAGGGTATACCTAATTAGAATATCCAAAATCTGGGCAGAGTGTGGTGGCTTATGCCTGTAATTCCAGTGTTTTGGGAGGCAGAAATGGGGGATTAGTTGAGGCCAGGAGTTCAGGACCAGCCTGGACAACATAGCAAGACCCTATCTCTACAAAAATTTAAAATTTAGTCAGGCATGGTGGCGCCTGTAGTCTCAGCTACTCAGGAGGCTGAGGAGGGAGGACTGCTTTAACCGAGGAGTTTGAGATTACAGTGAGCTATAATTGCACCACTGTACTCTAGCTTGGGTGACAGAGAAAGACCCAGTTTCTAAAAATAAAAATAAGAAAATTCAAAATCTGAAATGCTCTAAAACCTGAAGCTTCTTTAGTTTTGAGACGGAGTCTTGCTCTGTTGCCTAAGCTGGAGAGCAGTGGTACGATCTTGGCTCACTGCAACCTCTGCCTCCTGGGTTCAAGTGATTCTCCTGCCTCAGCCTCTCAAGTAGCTGGGATTACAGGCACCCACCAACATGCCTGGCTAATTTTTTTATTTTTATTTTTAGAAGAGACAGAGTTTCACCATGTTGGCCAGGCTGTTCTTAAACTGCTGACCTTAGGTGATCTGCCCACCTCAGCCTTCCAAAGTGCTGGGATTACAGGTGTGAGCCACTGTGCTCGGCCCAAAATCTGAAACTTCTTGAGCATTAACTTGATGCCACAAATGGAAAATGCCACACCTGAAGTCTTGTGACAGCTTGCAGTCAAAATGCAGGCAAACCAAACACAGTTTATTCAACATCCCCAAGGGAAAAATTAAGTTAACTTTAGGCTATGTCTATAAGGTGTATATGAAATATAAATGAATTTCATGTTTAGACTTGAGTCCTATTCCCAAGATATATCATTCTGTATATGCAAATATTCCAAAATCTAAAAGAATCTAAAACTGGAAACACTTCTGCTCACAAGCATTTCAGTTAAGGGTACTCAAACTATGTCAATGTATTTTTCATGATAAACCATGCTAGCTGGAAGAAAGGTAAAAGGAAGTGGCACATTATTTTTTATGTGCTGAAAGAAAAGAACTGTCAATCTAGAATCCTAGACCCAGCAAAAATACCTAACAAAATATGTATAGGACTTGTATACTGAAAACTATTTAAAATGCTGATTAAAAAAAAATCAAGATCTGGGCTGGGCACAGTGGCTCTTGCCTGTAATCCCAGTACTTTGGGAGGCCAAGGCAGGTGGATTGCTTGAGCTCAGGAGTTTGAGAACAGCCTAGGCAACCTAGCGAAAGCTGTCTTTACAAAAAATTTCAAAATTAGTCAGGCGTGTTGGTTCAAGCCTGTAATCCCAGCTACTTGGAAGGCTGAGGTGGGAGGATCACTACAGCCCAGAAGGTCGAGGCTACAATGAGCTGTAATTGTGCCACTGCACTTAAGCCTGGGCAACTGAGGGAGATCCTATCTCAATAAATAAAAAAAAACAAGATCTAAACAAACAGAGAAACATATCATGCTCATGGATTGGAAGACAGCATAGTAAAGATATCCCAATTTGTTAACCAGCTTTAATATAATCCCTATGTAAAGCTTAGTAAGTTTTCTTTATTGGGGGTAAATATATACAAGATAATTCTAAAATTAAATGGGAAGACAAAGGAACCAGTATAGCTAAAATGATTTTGAAAAGCAACAATAAAGTAAGAGGAATTAATTTACCTTATTTGAAGACATATTACATAGCTATTGTAATCAAGACTATGTGGCATTGGCAGAGGGGTAGGCATTAGAGAACTCAGACACAGACCCACACAAGGTCGGGTGCTATGGCTCACGCCTGTAATTCCAACACTTTGGGAGGCGGAGGCAGGTGGATCACGTGAGGTCAGTTCAAGACCAGCCTGTCCAGCATGGTGAAACCTCATCTCTACTAAAAATACAAAATTAGTCGGGCATCATGGCAGGTGCTCATAATTCCAGCTACTGAGGAGACTGAGGCAGTAGAATCATTTGAAACCTGGGGGGCTGGAGGTTGCAATGAGCTGAGATCATGCCACTGCACTCCAGCCTGTGCAACAAAGCGAAACTCCACCTCAAAAAAAAAAAAAAAGAGGTCCACAGAAATCTCCAACTGATTTTTTTTAAAATTGTGCTAAAATTTAAATATTTGTTTTAAATTGAACAATTCAGTGGCATTTAGTACATTTTCAGTGTTGTAGAACCACCACATCTGTCTAGTTCCAAAACATTTCCAGCATTCCAAAGTAACACTCATTAACCATTAGGCAGTTTCTCCCTCTCATCCCTTTCTTCCAGTCCTTGGCAACCAGCAATCTCTTCTGTCCCTATGGATTGATCTCTTCTGGATATTGGAATAAATGGAATCATACAACATGCTGACTTTTTTGTCTGGTATATTTTACTCAGCATATTTTGGAGGTTCATCTACATTGTAGCATGTATCAGTACTTCATTCCCTTTTATGACTATGTAATTTGCCATTGTTTATGTATATACTAAAATTTGCTTATCCATTCATCTGTTGATGAACCTTTGGGCTGTTTCTATTTGGCTATTTGAATAGTGCTACTATCAACATGCGTGTAACATGTACTTGAATACTTGTTTTTCATACTTTTGGGAACAGAATTACAGGGTCACATGATAATTCTATATCCCTTTCTGAGGAACTGTCAAATTGTTTTCCAAAGTAGCTGAACAATTTTACATTCCCACCAGCAATGTTTGAGGTCATATTCTAATTTTTCCACATCTTCATGACTTGCCAAACGATTGCACTTTTGATTACAGCCATCCTGTATCTGCAAAGTGGTATCTCCTTGTGGTTTTTATTTGCATTTCCCTAATAACTATGTTTTAGGGAATGGCCAATAAGCATCTTTTCATGTGCTTATTGGCCATTTGTGTATCTTCCCTGGAGAAGCACCTGTTCAATGCCAAACTGATTTTTGACAAAGGTATGAAAGCAATTCAGTGCAGGAAAGATAGTTTTATCAACTAATGGTGCAGACACAACTGGACATCTGCAGGTAAAAATAAAAAAAGAAGAATCTTGATCTAAGCCTCACACCTTATACACAAACTAACTCAAAATGGACCATGATTTAAATACAATAGGTTAAATTACAAAAACTTTAGAATAAAACATAGGAGAAAAATCTTTAGGACTTAGGGGTAGGCAAAGAGTTTGAAAACTTGACACTGAAAGCACAATCCATAAAAAGAAAAATTGATAAACTGGACTTCATTAAAATTAAAAACTTTTACTCTGTTACAGTTCCTTTTATGAGGATGAAAGATAAACTACAGACTAGGAGAAAATATTTGCAAATAGCATATCCAAAAAAGGACTAGTTTTAGAAGAATATATATAAATATTTTCTTATATATATATATATATATGAGTATATATATATATATAAAACGAAAGAGTACAAAAAGTCTTACAAGAAGTCTTCTATACAAAATATATATAAGTAATATAAATATATATAAAACTCAAGAGCACAAAAAGTCTAATTATAAAATAAGCAAAATAGAAACAAGCACATGCAAAGAGATTCAACATCATTATCCATTAGGGAAATGCAAACTAAAACCACACTGAGATATCACTACACACTTACCAGAATGACTAACATAAAATAGTGCATAGTGACAACACTAAATTCTGGAGAGGATGAGGAGAACCTGGATCCCTCATATATGATAGTGAGAATGTAAAATGGTACAGCTAGTTTGGAAAATAGTTTTAACAGTTTGTTTAAAAATTAACATGTAACTGCCACACTACCCAGCAATTGAACTCCTGGGCATTTATTCCAAAGAAATAAAGACTTTTGTTCATACAAATACCTGTCCGTGAATGTTTATATTAGCTTTATGTAAAATGTACAATAACTGGAAACAACCCAGATGTCCTCCAGCTGAATGGTTAAACAAACTGTGGTGCATCTACACCATGCTACTATCCAGTAATACAAAAACGCTACCTGATAACACAGTTATACAGTAATACAAAAACGCTAACTGATAACACGCTAACAGATAACACAACAGCCTGGATGTGCCTCCAGAGAATTATGCTGAATTTTAAAAAGCCAAGTCCCAAAGGGTTATTTATTGTATGATTTCATTTGTGTAACATCCCTGCAGTAACATTATAATAATGGAGAACAAATTAATGGTTGCCAGAGTCTAATGAGGGGGCA